TAATGTTTTAGTTTTTTTTTCTATCTCACATATTGAGAAGTTTACCATTTTCTTGTTCTTCTTAATCCTTCCTTTTCTCCCTCCCTCCTTTCTCCTGCATGTCACAAGTGCATGTTAAAATATTAATGATTTTTAAATAGAAAGTGTGAAGCATCAATCACTTCTGTAGAAGATTCTTGAACACAAAAGAGTAGGCTTTAACAGAACTGACTGTCATCATGCCCAGTTCCACGGCTCAAAGACAATTTTAGATGCCCTAGGATCAGTGAGTTCTGTGGTCCCCACTGTGTGTATCCAACACAGGGGATTGTGTGAAACTTATTTTGGTTCACACAAATCTCAGAAGATTTTGATCAAGTTATAAAACAATTTTAGGACTATCCCAAATTCAAGGGATTGCCGAATTACTCATATGGTTTGAAAATCAGAAATCCCTGTAACCTTCAGGTATCCTCAGGTATCTGGAGAATCAAGCTAGATTTACTCATTCTGTGTTTGTAGCAAGAGTTTTTATTTTTAGCCAATGTAAAGCACTGGAAACAATGGTCATTTCTGACGCTCTGTCATACAGTTGCAAAGCATATTAAAACATGCGTTCTATGCTGCATTATTTGCAAGTTTATTTGTGATCACTGTTTGGTGCATGAAGAAATACACTTGGCTTAAAATGTGTCGCATTGTTACATTCAGCCTTCTGATATTTGTGCTACTTATATAAAATATAACACATCTTTGTCAGCATGTAAGAATCCTAGGGATCTTGTACAGGGAGGTAAAGTAGGCACAAAGCAGCCATGATATCATGGCAGGATATACCGTGAATGTGAAACTTGGAGCTGGGAGGTTCAAGTAGCAGCCCTCCCACTTAGGATTTTTGTGGCCTTGGCCACAGCACTTAACCTTTCTGAGCCTTGGTTTCCTCATTTGGAAATGGTGGGAATCATTTCAGGAACTTATTTCATTCAGTTGTTGTGAATTTTGTTTGTTATTTGTTTATACTCTCATTCCACAAAGGATTTGAAATGGCATGTGTATATTTGAAGATAAAATGTATTTGTCAGTGCTTTGTAGATTACACAAATGTAAGCTACCAGCCATTACTTTGGGGACCTTTTGGGTTCCTGGGGAAGTCTATTCCTTAGAATGAAGCATTTTAAAGCAGATGTTCCAGACAGTTCTATTTAACAATTTCAAATAAAACAAATATTTATCCATGTGTGACATAGACTGGTTATAGGTGCCAATTTAAAATAAACCCGCGGGAAAAGAAGACTCTCCAAGGCCTTTTGGCTGAAAACTAAGTGCAGCTAATAAAATTATTGGATTCTCACATACTTAATGGCCCTTAATTGAGAAGGTTATGTACAATGACTAGAGGTCTTAAGGAGTAACGCTTCAAAATACATTTGTGTTTTGTTAAGCATCACAAACATGCATAAACATTTGAAAAAGAGTAGAGCTCATAGGTGCGAGTCATTTTTCTTCAGCTTAAAGACAGTGCTTTTGTTGCACTTAGAGTTGAAGGATACCTCACAAGAACACAGAGGCTTTGAAATACCAGTGGTCTGCTAGTTCCTTTAATTCGTTTTATTATCATGTGCCATTTGCCTTAATCTGGAGTTGCTAACCGTGCTTATCTGCACTCTGCATCTAAAGCCTCCAGAAAGATTGCTCTGGCATGGCCTAATAGCTTTTATCAGCTCACCCAGTGGCTCTTAAGCTTTGATGCTTGAAACTCAGGAGTTAACCACACGGTGCCAAGCCCTTCTGAACACGTCAACTGCTTTCCTCCGTAATTGATTGCTGTTTATGCCAAGGCAGCCACAAACCCTTCTCCTCCTTCCCTTTGTCAAAGTGAAATGGAACCTAAGGACAGAAGATAGTGGCTCTTTTGCCACACGCCCTCCAACTCTCATGGCCTAATTTGCTCAGAGAGGAATTACTTCTGGACCTATGCATTGCCACAAGGTTGGACCCTCTCTCACTTTTGTCTTCTGCTGTAAGCGCCTTTGATTTTTCGGTCTAGTCTCTATATAGTATATCTGAGCTGATAGTAAAATTGTTAATAATCTATACATTTTGGCTTCTCTGGCAGACATGCTTGCTTTTCCTCCTTTTCTATGAAAATTGTCTAGGGAAATTTACTTATTTAATTTTTTAGAGAGAGAGAGAGAGAGACAGAGCATGAGTGGGGGAAGGGAGGAGGGCCAGAGAGAATGAGAGAGAGAGAGAGAGGGAGGCACAGCATCTGAAGCAGGCTCTAGGCTCTGAGCTGTCAGCACAGAGCCCAACGTAGGTCTTGAACCCACAAACCGTGAGATCGTGACGTAAGCCAAAGTCGGATGCTTAACTGACTGAGCTACCCAGGTGCCCCTGTCTAGGGAAATGTATTAAGTGAGCCTCTATTGTCTTTTAAATCTAAAAAAATACCCCATTTCTAAACACTGAAACTTCTGAAAACATTCACTTGACATTCCAGTTCATGTTGTACAGAAAAATTATAAAAATCATGGAATAAGTTTTTTTCCCCACCCTTATAGTAAATAAAGCTGCATTTTCAATGACTGCATGAGACATACAGACTTGAGAAGAGTTTTGCAATAAACGTTATATTCAGCAATTATGATTTCTCTGAAAATGAACAGTTAAGAGGCCGAGGGTCCACATGCATGAGAGAGAGTACGCTTTAGTGGTTAGAATGCTCTGACTTTAGCTAGCATGGATCAGCTGAATTCTGGGTTCCCATTTACCAGTTGTCTATCCTCAAACAGTTATTTAAACTCTCCAAGACTTCATTTCCTCACATATGAAATGGTGATGATGTTCCGAACTCACAGGATATTCGGGAGATAAAATGAGGCGAATATGTAAAGCACCTAATAAAATACTGGGCACATAATACCCACCAAGTTAATGGCGGCAGCTATTGCTGTGATTTTTGTTGTTGACAAGCTGAGAAAAAAAGTTGCATTCTTTTTTTTTAGTGTTCCTTCTGCTAAAGTCAATTTAGAAAACTTCCCTCAGACATACCATAATCTCTAAGCAGGAAACAGGCAGCCTTGGAAGAGCAGAGTTTAGAGACTGGATTCTATGTGGGGAGGGCCACAGCCCAAATCTCAGACTGCCTTCTCCCTGCTAATTTGTAGCATCATATGATGTGACTGTACCACCTGTCCTGGAGAGGTTAGTGACTCCTCTGCACCTAACAATGTCACCTCAATTTTTATTAACAGGAACTTTACACTTCTTAATCTCATTCTTGCAAGGAAAAGAGAATCTTTTTTCCCCCCTTCTCCCTCCCACTGCTCTCCCCCAGAGAAAGAGCTTAACACACCATTTGGGATGTTATAAAAATGGAAAAGACTCAAGTTTAAAATAATATAGCGGGTGGTTGAAAAGCTGCACATCTACCTTCACGTTCGCCTTCTTAGTCCTTTGCGTTTGCATGTAGCCTTTCTTTCAAAGAAACAATTCATCTTTAATATGTCTTATGTCATTCACTCCTTTATATCTAATTGGCCCAGTGATTTCCTCCGCTTAAATGTAGCATTTATCAATCACAACTAGCAATGCATGTTATGGTGTTAACAGAAAATTCCACAGGACCCTCTTCACGCTGGGGAAAGGGAACATCTGCTACTTTTATATTAGGATGCCAGGATTTAGAGGTCAATGTGTTTCCCCATCAAGGCTTAAGGCTTTGGGGATCAGGGGAAGTGTCAGGCTCCAAGCAGCATAATGAATGGCAGTTGCTGACTGGCGAGGTTTGCCTGTTCTCAACGGGGGATAGTGCTGTTCAGCATAATGAGCTGGGTCTCTGTGTGCTAAACGTACCCAGCTTGGGGAGGGAGGCAGACTCTGCCTCCCCCACCCCCCACCCCCACCTCCAAGTTCCGAACTGTATTTTCATCTTGGAAGAAATTATATTGAGATCTTCATTAGTGGCACCCAGCAGGGTTAAGGCTCCATGAGGGCTGATAAGCTCTATGGCTAAAAAAAACCCATCAGCCTTTGTGCAGGGAGCTGAAGGTTTAAGTTGCTTGAACTGGAAAGAGTCTGAAGAGGTGATTATGTTAAGCAAGTAATGTGTATCGGTAACATGGAATCAAATTATTAGGGTCAGTAACTCCTGGCTTTCCCAGTGCATTAAATGAAGACATAACATTGCATTTGTGCCGGGTTCTTCTTGATGCCACGAGTGTCAGCACTGACCAGTCATATGTACTTCACAGCATGTCACCTCTAATTTCATGGGATTATCTGCACTGTTGCTTTAATAGATACTCATGATCTTCAGCTTCCTTTGAACTCACAGCAGGGCAGTGCAAAGTCAATATTGTGGGCACTTCTGTGCTTTTTGTGTTACATATAAAATTATTATTACTATCATTGAGAAAGGGAGATATATCTTGCTCTCATGCTTCCAAAAGCGTGCAACTTACTTGCTGATGAGGGAAGCTACCGAAGGGGAAAAACTGAATGGGAAAGACCTTTCTGAAGGTTAGTGTTAGAAAGGTGTCAAGGCAGTAACTTAGTATTAGAGAGGTATAGAGGACCATGGTTCTCAAAGAATGGTCCCCTGGCCAGTCACATGGGAATTGCCCAGGAACTTGTCAGAAATGCAAATCCTACTGAATCAGAAACTCAAGGTGGGTTCAGCAAACTGTGTTTTGAGAAGCCTTCCAGGAGGTGGCTGTATGCTCAAGTGTGAGAGACACTGCTATGGCATTTACGGGGGACCAGAATGGGATAGACCCATTTGTTCTGGGGGTAGAGAAGTAGAGAAGACAAATGAAGTATCTGCTCCCATGGACCTTATCAAATTACAGAGGAATATGTAGTACTTCTCCCCAGTAAAACACACATACAACAACAGATCCTGTAATTATCGTGTATACCATTTTAGTCTTTGTCTGAATCAGCCTGTTATCCTATCGTCTTTGCTTTCAGAGAATGACTAACAAAAGATGACTAATAAGCAATTCCTTTGTGCATTTCAGAACCATCCCCCTTGCAATCTGTATATCCATGGCCATCGTCACCACCGGCTACGTGCTAACAAATGTGGCCTACTTTACGACCATTAGTGCTGAGGAGCTGTTGCTTTCAAATGCAGTGGCAGTGGTAAGTCCAAGTTGGGAACATGCCAATTTGAATTTAGGTTAATGAGTTGATGCAATTTTACAGTAGTTCCCTCCAGCAGAAAGTGTTTTGAAATTCAGTAATCTTTTCTTGACCTGAATGATAATGAGTATATAAAAAATTTAGAACACACCTTAGCAATTCCATTTAACTGAGACAGCCAAAGTCCTATATGGTTTCCTGCATTGTTCATTTCCTGTAAAACATTTCCACATATACGTGCTGGGAAACACATTTCCACATGTGCATGTTGAATAGAAGATACTTTTCCAACGTGACTTTAAGGATAGGTGGGCAGTTACTGAACTTAAATGAATGTATTTTCTGGCATGCAAATTGTGATTTATTCTTTATTCTTTCCTGTTCATAAACTTTTCAAATGCTGAGTTCAAATCTTTTTTCCAAAGTACCACTTAAGAATTTCCAAAGGACCATACATATTTGTTTTTTCTAGTCTATCCTTTTGAATACCAGTAATGGGATATTATTAATTTTAGGAAATACTGAGTTATTCAAAGTTAAGCAGATGTCATTGCTCTAGCACTTCTCAGAATACTAAAGATGCTAATGTGCATTTTAACTCCCTAAGAAGTGGATACTTATAATTTTACAACACTTTCCAAAATTTATTTGACCTCAGGACCATCTTTGCTCTCAAAGGTCATGTTACAGGAATGCTATTCTGTGACACATACTTTTATTTTGTATCAAAACTTAGCTGGTAAAGGAGCATTTCTTTGTGACCTCATAACAATGAAGGGTGAAAATATAACTTCCCATCGCTAGATGTCAGTTCCTTTTAAAATAGTCACTATTACCTCATATCGGCAACATCCACAGGGAACAAATTATCTCATTTCGTGTGAACCTCCGTGCGTGTTCGCTGTATTAAAACAAGACTTTGCCGCTGCTGTAAGTCCTAACAGACAACCAAATGTACAAAGTTTGCTAATGTCGGGTCAGTCATCTCATCTTCCCAGACAAAGGGCAGCACTTACTCTTTGAGTGCAACATGTCCCATTAATTACATAGCACCAGCTGCATCAAGGACAACTAAAGAATCCCACATAGTGGTTGTTGGGTTTTTGTTTTTTGGTTTTTTTTGAAAATACATCCTTCATGGAAATTTGCAGTGTTGCATATACTATGGCATGAAAGGACATTTTGGAAGTTTTGTTTATCTTTCATATTTTCTGTGGCTTGATCTTCTCAAGCTTGTATTTGTATTCTAGCCTTTTTATGGGAAACCACAGAAGGAACTGGCAGATCCCTGAGAGGGAGGGAGTGACTCAATACAGAGAGATTCAGCTAATGTGATTATTCTAGGCACAAGATTTTTGGAACTGCTCGTATATAGGTGAGATAAGCGATTAAGTCATCAATTATTTCTCACTATACTTTGTGTCCTAACAGGAGGATTGGGATATGAAACAAGTTATCTGTAATACTTCTCAGTGTACATTTGTACCTCACTATAAAAATGTGGCTTTCCAGGTTGAAGAGAAGGCATTGAAGGATTTCTGTCTCCAGTGGGAGAACTTCTGAACCGAGCTTTTTTTTACTTACCAGAATCAGAGATGATAGACATCGTAGTTAATAAAGAGTCAATAAATGGATCGTTGCTTTTTGGAAGTAGAGAGAAGGTGCTTATTTAGACCTTTGGCCATAGTTTTGCAAAAAGCAATGCCACGATACTGCTTTTGATTATTGTCTAAGAAGTTAGCCTGACCCTCACCACAAAAAAAGATTATAAAGCATATACGTATCACCAGACTAAAAAAGAAAGTCAGAGAGCGAGTTTGGACTAAATTGTTTCATTTTATTCCACTTTCTGGCAGAGCATTAATTTGCTTCGTTCTGTCTCTCACTAGACCTTTTCTGAGCGGCTACTGGGAAATTTCTCATTAGCAGTTCCGATCTTTGTTGCCCTCTCCTGCTTTGGCTCCATGAATGGTGGTGTGTTTGCTGTCTCCAGGTGAGCGAGTTCAAGCATTTCCAGAAATGCATTTCTGTTTTTGAGATTGGATGTGATAAGAGTAGGCTTAAAAAGAAAA